GATGGCCACGCCGCAATCCCTTCTCCTCCATTCTCCTCTCGGGATCTTGGGCACGCACGCACAAGCACCTGGCATGAGTTTAAGCCACCAGGTCCGGGACTCGAACTGTGGTCGACCACGTGGGAGTCCAGCGACATAGCCATTACGCTAACTGCTGGTCCCTATAGCAAAAACTTTTCTAAAAAAAAGAAAAAAAAAAAAAACCCTAATGGGTCTCCCTATTCCAACCATTAGCCCCTTATGTTTAGTCTATTTTGACATGACAGCCAGGCCATTTTTTTTTAAAAAAAAAGAATTATTCAATTTTATTTATTCATTCATTTATTTTAATTTGACCAGCGAGAGAGAGAGAGAAAGAGAAATAAAGTGAGAAGGCAAGCTACCAGGTCTGGAACTTGAACAGTCCTCAGCCACGCGGGAGTGTCCAGTGACTTAACCACCATGCCGCCTATTGGTCTCTAGGCTAATCCTCCTAAAAACAGATAAGCCACTTTTCTGTGAGAAACCTTGGGAGGGCTCTCCCATCATGGCTTAGTACAGCCTGAGTTCTTATAAAGGCCCACAAAGCCCTACCTGCTGCAGCCACTTCCTCTCCGTCACCCCCTTGGTAGTTATCTATTCTTGCCTTCCTATTTTTTGAACATGCCAGGCACTTCAAGGCACATGCTCTAGGCTGTTGCCTTTTTCTAGAATCCCTTGTCCCCATGAATCTGATTAAACAGCTCACTTTCTATAGTCCATTTCAACCTGACCTTCCCACTGAAACCTACCTTGACCATCTTATTTAATACCGCAACCAACTGCCCGCGCCATGTCAACTTTACTCTTTGGTCTTTTTCATTTTTCTATTGTACAGCGTATTTTTGTACTCATCTTTCCTGCCATCCATCACTACAATGTAACTCTGGTGAAAGTAGAAATCTGCTTATTTTGTTTACCAATGATCCCATGGCACCTGGTACAGACTCTGGTACACAAAAGGGACTCACTCAATGGTACACAGTAGGCACTTAATATCTGCTAACTTGAATTTAAATTTTGAAAAGAAGTCCTGGGTAGTGTTTCAGAAGATGTTGCCCTCCATGTGGATATACACTAGGAACCAGGACAAGGGGTTTCAACCTAGATTCTTATGAAATGGTTGCCTTTGTGCATAGCTATCTCAGGCAGCAGCAGGAGTTGTGAACCCAAGCCAAAGTGTGTAGCAGTATATTTTGTTTCATTAAAAAATATTATTTTATTATTTTTAATTTGCTATGGGGCATGTGCGTTCACCAGAGAGAGCAAGCCACCCACCAGATCCAGGATGTTAACCACAGTCAGCATGTGGAGTCCAGCACCTTAACCACCATGCTACTTGCTGGTCCAATAGCATGTTTTTGTCATGTGTTCTCTGCATCTATTTGCATTTTATGTTAAGTTTTTTTGAAAATTCCTGTCTGCCATGAGAAGTCAATAATGGCTACCTTTTAAGCATCTCACTATTTAGGGTAAATTATAAGAATTGGGGCTCCATTAGACAGTATGATCACTGGACAACTCAAGAAATCCTGCCTTGGTTGGTTCCTGGCTAGAGAAACCTACCTAAACAATAAGGGGGGAGGGGGGGAATAAAAAAGTCTTACCTGAAACTTAAGCAAAATGAAAAAGTTATTGACTAAAGGAATCCAACCAAGCCATAAAGGCATGAAATCTGGTATCAGAAACTTGAGCTAGAACAGACATGCTTCTAGATCCTGTCTCCTCCATATGTTAATTTCACTCTTTCTGGGCAGCTGCTGACATGGCAGTTAAGGTGCTGGACTCCTTCATGGCCAACCATGGCTCAAGACCTGGACCTGGAGGCTTGAAAATCACACCAGGCATAGGTGGGTACATGCCCAAAATCCCAAGGGAGTGAAGGGATTGGTGTGGTCATCCCCCAGGGAATGATTTACTTTGTCAAGTGTACACACCCTACAGCAAAAACCTTTTATAAAAGTGATCTTCCACATATCATAAAGGCATTTAACATTACATACATCAAAGTTTACTAAATTATTTGTAAAATGTTGACCAAAAAAGTTCATTTCAAAATATTATCAGTGGTAGTTTTTAGCTATGGAGCACCAAATTGGAGCAGATTCCAGCCAGCATAAGTTTTACCAGATTTTTAAAGTGTGTTTGGGGCCAGTAGATGGAGTAGCAGTTATGTCGTTGGACTCCCACATGGCCAACTGTAGTTCCAGTTCTGGACCCAATAGTTTCAAAATCATGCTATGCGTGCCCAAGACCCCAAGAGAAGGGATTGCAGCATAGTCATGCCCCCTTAGGGGTGATTCCTCACTTTCCCTCTCTCTCTCTCTCTCTCTCTCACCGCTACCACTACCACCACAGCAGCTCACCTAAGGAAAGGACCTCTTTTTTAAAAAAGTGTTTATTCTATCCCCTTGAAAACTGGCAGGAGGCTAGATACTCACCAAGGTTCTGTCAAACCTTCAGGATTCAAGGCCAACATATTTTGTTACCTTTTGAGATTTATACTATAATCCTCAATGTTTTGGTAAGGCCTAATTTTACTATTTCAAGCTTGATTCAACTTTCCTAAACATGTTTTTCTTAATTTTAGTAAAATTTGCCAGAGGTCCCATGTGTTCAACAGAAAGCTGGAAAACATAACCCTCCCCCACCCAATAGTACACAATCACACTCCAATCTCTTCTACATTTCTCCATCCTTCTGGGAGTTTGGGCACAGATGTACTAACTCCCAGAGTATTTTTTCAAGCTGTCAGATCCAGGAATTAAACTATAGGGTCAACCTTGTGGGATCCAGTCATTTTAACCACAGGTTGACCCAATTTTTGTTTACAAAACCCTTATTCATAAATAACTCCCTAGATCTGACAATAGACTCCAACCTTCAGCGTTAAAAACATATGACCCTGGGACAAGCAGATGGTATATTGGCTATGTTGCGGGACTCCCACATAGTCAACTGTGGTTCGAATCCTGAACCTTGTGGGGTGAAACTCACACCTGGCACGTGTGCGTGTATGCACAAGCATGCCCAGAAACCCGAGAATGGAGAAGGAATTGCAGCGTGGCCATCCCCTGGGGGGTGATTTCTCGCTTTCTCTCTCTCTCTCCAGTGGGCACATATACCCTCCCTCTAGCCAAAAAAAAAAGAACTACCAAAAAAAACTACATGACCCCGCAAAGGAGACAACAAAGTTTAACTGTTCTCCCAGGTGATTTTTTTAACATGAGCTAAGTATTTCATATTTTGTTATGGATCAAAGTAACATAATAAAAGCTCATTTTGGAGTGTGAAAAAAAGCAAAATATCAAATTTTTTACAGCCATCTACTAAAGCCTAATTCTAAGCTGTGAAATATGTCCAATATTTAGACATACTCTTATATAGCTTGTAGCTTGGGGTGTGTGTGTGCGTGTGTGGACCAGGAACCAAGTTACCTGCTTCCACTACTGCCAGGTTCTAATACAACCCAGGATATACTGCAGAACAACAGTAGAGTTCAACTCAGTTAAAGCCCATCCACTGTACAATGCTAAACTGCTAAAAGTAAACTTTCACTAAATAATATTACAATAATGGTACTTTATACAGTTGAATTAGGAAAAAGAATAATTTTTTGCACTTCAGACTTATGAAGCTGACCAAAAAGTGAAACCGGTAATAATATAAAGTGATAAAATAAAACAAAGCATGGTAAAGACTGCTTTATTGATGGCAGTTAGTACAAGTCAATAAATATTGATCCCCAGAGAAGAGCTCAGTTATTTATCATATTACTGGTCCACAGAGAGCTGAATGAAATTGAACGAAAGGACGTCTGGGATGACCAAAGTCAATCCTGCTTTTTGGGAAATGAAGCCATAGCCAGCTGATAAATGGCATATGCTGTTCCTGAAAAATAAAAATAAAAAAAGAATTTACAAGAAATTCTAATATTTCAGCTCAAAAGTTATAAGATAAATACAATGTTGGCATGACTACCTTAATGGAAACACAAAAAAGTGTTAAATATAGCACAGTAATCTATTTGTCAACTTACAACATGTAAAATGTTTTAAAAATTTAAAAAATATATAAATTATTTCCATAGTAGTCTGAGACTTCCTGAGAACTGCCTGATTTAAGAGCCTACTCACTCCCTCAAAAAGAGGTCAACATACCCAACCCCCTTCCCTGAAGTAAATTATCAAATGAGAAACCAAGAGTGCCATAATTTTTACCAAATAACCAAATGTAGTGTAAGACTTTTACACTGTAATAGCTACTTTTATTTTTAAAGGTAATTAACATAATGTTTAAAACTTAAACAGTTACCTTGGCAGAAAAGAATTTAGGATTTATTAAGAAAGCCCAAACGTCACTATCTGGTTGTAGCACAGAAACACCCCTTCTATTTTAACTATATCCAATTCAAGTCAAAGATGACACCTTGGTTGGTGCAAGGGGACTCTTTACTTAAGGTTCAAATCACAGCTTTTCCACATAGAAGCAATTTTATCTTGGGTAATTAACATAATTTCCTCATCTTTAAAATGGTTATAGACTTTATGCAAGGATTACAGAAATCAAAGTATGTGGTATTCCAATCAGCAGGACAGGCAGAGTGATCATGCGATACTGTTTCCTGTCCTTCCCCAGAGAGCACTCATTCAAACTAACTCTGCTCCTCCTTCACCATTTGTGATGCACCACTGCTAATACTGAGTAATGGACCTGCCTAATCCACAGAAAAATATCAAAGCACTTCGCATATGTTTAAAGTACTGTTCTGTACAAGTTCTGATTCCATCATAAATGTGTATGTACAGAATTTAAATGGAAACACCTTATTATACATCACAATCAAAATGTTTAGAAACACCTGCTATAGGAGGTAAGGTAGAATGAATGCTGGTGGCTAAAAGTTAGCCTCCAAGGCCACCACAAACACACTCCGAAAACTATTTCTATCATAAAATAATCAATCATCAAACTTTATTAATGCATGTTTCTTTGAAAAGCCATCAGGGGCCGGCACGTGGTGGGATGGTTGAGGCACTGGACTCACATGGCTGACAGCAGTTTGAGTCCCAGACCTAGCAGCCTGCTTTCTCACATTTTCTCTCTGGTGAGTTCACACGCCTTATATTAAAAAATAATAACCAGTAATAAAAGTAAACTGAATTAGATAAGCAATTCTTTAAAAAGCCATCAAAATGTCCATATACAGTATTTATTAATCACTCTTAAATGTTTATATGAGATAAAGATGTCAGATTCTTGGGACAGAGTGCTTGCATTAAAATACTGCTATAGCAAAAACAATTAAGTTGCTAGATGTCATTACATTACTTTTGTATAAACCTTTAAAACATTCAACGTCTTACCGCCAACTGTAAGAACCATGGTGGCTCTATACAGGAGGGCATCGGCTACTCCACCCTTAAGATGCACAGGAATTCCATTATCCTCCTAGGTAAAAAGCAAACCAAAACAAAAACATCAATGAATGTGTCATTTGTTTCTATCCAGCTTAGTTTCAAAAGACAATTCATATAAAATGAAACAACTGCTTAAATCTCAGAATTAAGATATTTTAAATATCAAATTTTAAAAATGTCCATGATTCTTTCTTAACTATTACTACTTTTTAAATAAGGACTCCCAGGGCAAGCCTTTGGCACAATGGTGTAACACAATGCTCTGCGATGCTGCACCCACATGGGAAGGTCTCGGGTTTGCACCCTGAGGTCTCTCCATATACTTGGTGCCACACTCATCCGTGATCCATGCTGGCTGGGGGGAGACCACAGTGTGAGGATCCTGAAGAGCCTGTCTCTCTCTACTGGAAGAAACAAAAAACGAAACAAAACAAAAAACTCATAAAAGTCAGCTTTCCTCCCCAATAAGGTTGGTCTTTCCGTGGACTATATAAATATCAAAGCTATGAAATACACTTGCTGAGTCCAACAGTTTAAATACAAAATAATAATCATCATACTTTAGATACAGTCATAGAGAAGACTATTTTTGGTCCTCTTTTTTTTCTACACCAACTTTTATTATCAAGTTTCAGAAACTTTTTTTTTTTTTTTGAGAGGTTTTCGCTACAGGGTGCGTACACTCGCCAGACAGAGTGAGACATAGAGACAGAAAGCAAGAAATCACCCCCCAGGGGGGATGGTCACGCTGCAATCCCTTCTCCTCCATTCTCCTCTCGGGATCTTGGGCACGCACGCACACGTGCCCGGCGTGAGTTTTAAGCCACCGGGTCTGGGACGCGAACCACAGTCGACTACGTGGGAGTCCAGCGACATAGCCATTACGCTAACTGCTGGTTCCCAAGTTTCAGAAACTTTTTACAAGATGGTTAAAAAAAAAAAAAAAAAAAAAAGAAGCAACCTTGAGACCAGCAGTTGGTATAATGGCTATGTTGCTGGACTCCCATGTAGCTGACTGCAGTTCAAGTCCCGGACCCAGTGGTTTAAACTCACACCAGGTGTGCGTGTGTGCCCAAGATCCCAAAAGGAAAATGAAGAAGGGATTGCAGCATGGCCATCCCCGCTGGGGGGTGATTTCTTGCTTTCTGTGTCTCTCTATCTTTCTGGTGAGCGCACACACCCTATAGCCAAAACATCTTCCCCTCAAAAAAAAACCCTTTACAACCACAGCTAATGTAATTTCCCCCCACTGTTTCCAGTCAGCTCTAAACCCACTGTGTGCAAAGCCCATTTTTCCATACACCTAAATGGTAGATACAGGCTATGAAATTCTCTATTCTATCTGTAGCAGCTCATGCTGCTGTAGCCAAACACAAAGATTCAGGACAAACTGTGCAAACTTTATAATGTGGGATTCAAATTTAAAATATAAAACATAAGGAGAATGGAGGAGAAGGGACTGAAGCATGGCCATCCTCCCTTGGGGGCGATTTCTCGCTTTCTGTCTCTGTCTTTCTGGTGAGAGCACACACCCTATAGTAAAAACCTTTCCAAAAGAAAAAAAAATCAGTACAGACACCAGGACTGAAACTTATAAACCATGCATGAAAGGGACTCTCATTTCCTTTCAAGTGCTTTATTCTGCTACAGAACAGTCAAAATGAAGATATAGAGCTTTGTGGTTAAATTATACACTCTGTAGAAACTTTTTTTTCCCTTAAGGTGCTGGGGGCAGGAGTATGGGGTTGGGGCAGCGGTCAGACAGTGGCACAGTGGTAAAATTACAATGCTCAAGGCTGACACCTACATGGGATGATCTAGGTTCGTGTCTGAAGATATCCCTGAACACACAAGGCATAAACATGCCCATAATTCAGGGCTGGCTAAAGCTGGGGATGGAATATAGTACCAAAGTCCTGTTGGGGTATCATCTGTCTGTCTCTTCATGGAGGAAAAAAGAAAACTAAAAAAGGGGTGAGTGGATTTTGGTTTAAAACCCTAAATTATATACCTAGCACCTAGCCTAGCAACTGTCATAGAGTAGATATTTAATATATCCTTTAAATAAAATGTTTTATTTTACACAGTATATATTTTTTTTTGAAGAGAGATTTTTGTGGGGCCAGCAGGTGGCATGATGGTTAAAGGAGACGAACTCCCACATGGCCGACCACAGTTTGAGTCCCAGACCTGGCGGCTTGCTTTCTCTCTCTCTCTCGCTCTGTCCCTCTCTGGTCAAATTAAAATAACTAAATTTAAATAAAATAATTTAAAAAAAAAAAAAAAAGAGAGAGAGAGGATCAGCAGTTAGCCATAATGGCTATGTCGCTGAACTCCCATGTAGCTGACTGCGGTTCAAGCCTTGGACCCAGTGGCTTAAACTCACGCCGGGCACGTGTCCATGTGTGCCCAAGATCCTGAGAGGAGAACAGAGGAGAAGGGATTACGGCATGGCCATCCCCCCTAGGGGGTGATTTCTTGCTTTCTATCTCTCTGTCTCTCTTTGTCTTTCTGGCTAGCACACACGCCCTGTAACAAAAACCTCTCAAAAAAAAAAAAAAAGAGAGAGATTTTGCTATAGGGCATGTGCACTTGCTGGAGAAACAGACAGAAAGTGAGAAATCATCCCAGAGATGGAATGGCCACATTGCAATCCCTTCTCTTCCATTCTCCTCTTGGGATTCTGGGCATGCAAACACACATACCTGGCCTGAGTTTAAGCCGCTGGGTCCAGGACTCAAATGTAGTCAACTACATGGGAGTCCAGCGACATAACGATCACGCCATCTGCTGGTGCCTATTACAATTATTTTTATCACCTGAAATTTTATTTGGGAAAAATTAAAAATCATGATAAAACAAAAAAAATCACTGATAATCTAATCACCTTTAAAGTGCTTGGCTCCTCTAAATCTTTCTCCAAGAAAGAACTGCTGTTATTAGAATGGTATGTATCCTTGACTACTTTTAATGCTCACATTGTCACACCTTCTACATTACACACATACCTGTTTAATAAACAAGATGAGGGACCAGCAGTTAGTGTAACGGCTATGTCGCTGAACTCCCATGTAGTCGACCGCGGTTCGAGTCCCAGACCTGGTGGCTTAAACTCACGCCGGGCGCATGTGCATGCGTGCCCAAGATCCCAAGAGGAGAAAGGAGAAGGGATTGAGGCATGGCCATCCTCCCTGAGGGGTGATTTCTCACTTTCTATCTCTCTGTCTGTCTCTGTCTTTCTGGCAAGTGCACATGCCCTATAGCAAAAACCTCTCCAAAGGAAAAAAAAAAGAAATTATAGATATAAAGGTCTAACGTATACAATTTTCCATTCAATATTATCTTAAAACCACTCTGCTGGTCCACTTAAACAGACTTTGTTCCTTTTGATAGTTACACAGCATTCCACTTCAGGAAAATATCTTAATTGAGTTAGTCTTCTACAATGAATACATAGGTTTTTGGCTTCTGGGATTTTAAAAATTAAAATCCTCTTTCCTGATTTTATATATTTATATTATTATTTGTCTAAGAAAGATTCTCAAAAGTGATCTTCTAGAATGATGATACAGTATGTGACTTCTTTTTAGTGATACTTTCAAATACTCTCCAAAACTTTTGTACAAATTTAACTACTATTTAGCATGTATGAAAGTACTGGATATAATTATACTTACCTCCCACACCTGGCAAACATAACCTATTTTAAATCTTTCTAAAATTTTGCCAACCGATTGGGGGTGGTGGTGGTGGAATGAGCAATTAATCATTTTAATATGTATTTTTCGATTTTTTAAAAGATATTTTTGCTATAGGGTGCGTGTACTCACTGAAGACAAAGAGAAAGACAGAAAGCAAGAAATCAGACCCCAAAGGGGATGGCCACACTGCAATCCCCTCTCCTCCATTCTCCTCTTGGGATCTTGGGCACACATGCACACATACCTGGGGTGAGTTTCAAGTTGCTGGGTCCGGAACTCAAACCAAGGTCGAGTATGTGGGAGTCCAGTGATGTAAACATTACACCATCTTATGGTCCCTATATTTTTCTTGTAAGAGCTCTTTGTTTACTAAGAATATTAACCTTCTGTTATATTTTTTTAAATTTTCACTTAATATCACTTGTCTTTTGTAACCATAAATATATTAAACATTTTTAATGTCACTATATCTTGCAATTTTCTCCTTTACTGACTCTTGGCTCCATAAGGATTTCCTTAGACGACTACCCCTCTCTCAAGATTAAAAAAATATTCTATTTTCTTTCATTTGTTTTGAGGGAGAAACCTTTACATATGCAATTTATTTTCTTAGTACACTATGTGGAAGGGCTCTAACTTCACTTTCTTTAAAATAGTCAGTGTTTCCAGTACCAATTTATTATATCCTTTTTCAGAGATATGAAACAGAACCTTTAACATATATTTAATTTCTACATATACATTTGTTTCTAATCCTTTTTTAAAATCTATTTATAATGTTCCTGTGTAATTACTCCAAAGAAAGATAATACACCATCAACTCCTCCAAAAATATTTATCATCGACCTGTACTATTTTTCTTTATTTCTTTCTGCTTGCCCAAGGGACTCTCAAATACCCAATTAGCTACCAGCAATTTACTATTCTTTTGCTAATACAACAGGATCACCAAAAATGAAACTGCTCCAGATTTACTTTCTATCTCTACCTTTTGGTAATCTAATTTTTACAAATAACAATCTTCTACAAAGAATTTAAATACCTGAAACAGTTTTTGTTTCTCTGGAACTTTATTTTCAAAATGTCTGCGTGAAGCAGTGTTTATGGTCCTCTGGGTAATCTGACGAAGAGCCTGAAATAGAAAATTCATATATATTAAACAGACTGAGCTTAAGAAATCTGCAAACTAACCATTTTTAATCCTTCATATCGTAAGAGAAATTAAGACTTAAAGCATATCTGATTTGCTATGAGCAGTAAAACATGGACCGGTATCCAGGTTTGCAATTTGCTGTCCATCCTCTGCTCTTCACATTACGTTTTATAGCCTCCAAAATGCATATTCAAGAAGCAATTTATGCAGATTCTAACAACAAAAAATACCATGATCTTGACCTGAATTGAACCAACAGCACTTTATAGTCCTCAAGGAAAACAAATTGATATACACATATTACAGAAAAAAAGAAACCAAAATACACTAAATAAGCTCAATTTCTTTAACACTCAAAAAATTATTAAAGTCCATTACTTGACAGAAAAATTCACTGGAATTTCTAATTAAAATGCTTCCCTCAGATTTTTCCTAAGATTATTTTAAATAAGATATAAATCTTTTTTAAAAAGATGTGTCTAACATATCTAGAATTAAATAAGGCAAAATGGCACTCCACTAAGATAAATGATGTTGAGAAACTAAAACGTGAATAATTGTAAAAGAAAATCATTCTTACATTTTCCTCTTTTCCTCGAAATTTTGGAAAAATATTTCACAAGCTCAAAGTCAATGGAACGGCACTGAAAAACGGCCTAATGGAAGCAACATTGCAGTTTAGCTACGATTGCTCCCGAAGTCTCATCCAAAATAGAATGACTTGGTTTCTAAACTGCCTTTTACGGCTTGCAAACTCAGAACCACTGAAACAAAACTTTCCGATTCCAGAGAAATGTCTTTCTGCCCGATGCTTCCAGTTGTCAGAAACAATTCATCTAGACCATGGTTTTGCTCACATCAGAATTACTAACCTAGTCAATGACCCACAGAGTGAGGAGGGACCCCAAACCCAAGGCCTAACTCAATTCTGTGGTCCCCTTCCCAAGCCTCTCCACCGCCTACCTACCCAGCAACGGCCTGCGAGGAGGAGAATGGATAAAGGAAATTAGGGTCAGATGAGAAGGACACAGACCAAGGTGACTTCAAGAGCCGCCTTCTGACCTCCTTCCAGAAAGTTTCCTGTCGTGGCCCCTTAGTCTATATTCCCAATCCTTACTCCCACCAAGACAGTAAGAGAAAAGCTCCCCACCAGCAGATTCCGCAGCATCTTGTCTCAGCTTCTGCCCACCAACCGCAACAACCGAAGTGCAGGAACGAAAATCGCCACGCCAGAACCGGAACCACTTCCTGGCTTGCGCAAGCGCAAAGGAACCTAAATCCGGACGGAGGCGGGACTTGCGCCCTAACCATAGAGAAAGACAGCGAGAGCGGCAGCCGGGCTGTAGCCGCTCTGGCCTGCTGGCCGTTTCTGTCCGAAGATCTCGTTCTGGACTCTCTGACGCTATCTGGTAACTCACCCTGCGGAGTCAAAACCGGGAAGAAAAAGTTTTTGAAACCGTACGGGCAGGAAGTGACGTTTTATGTATTCTTTGAACATGCTTAAAATGAATGGACTAGACTATCAAAGTGTATTTTGAGGAAAAAAGCGTAAAGCTGGCTGAAGCTGAACGAACACGAGAATAACCAAATGATAGATGTGAACCTGGATGAAATTAAAAAAAAAAAGGTTTACACTTGTTTACACAAATGGTTTTTTTCCCCAGCGAAAAAAACCATTGTGGGGCGTATTTGTCCCTTGTGCTGAGAATGCAGGAAAGAGCTGCATAAAGTTATCAGCTTTTATCTTCTTGTACCTTCCTATGCTGCCAAATTTCCCATGCAAGAAGCTCACCCATAGTGTACCGAAATTGTGGAAGCGGCATGCTCTTAGTCCTCAGTCTGAGATAACGAAAAAAAGAGGGGAAGGGTGGGCGGACTTACTAGGGAAACAAGAAATGGAAGGGCTAATCTGGACTCGTTCATTCTTGCTGTCTCAGGTCTAGCAGGCCCTACATTTCATAATTGGAGTTGCCAGGCATAGCGGTTATTGAGCAAGGAGGCTGTCGGTTTATCTTGCATCCGTCTTGCTTAAATAATCCCTATTACAAGTGCCTTTACTCCCTATGCCCCCCCCCCCGTGTACAAATATTCTGTACTACAGTATTTTTTTTCTTTTCACTAACTCTTACAAATTATTTCTCAGCCATTTCAAATAGAAGCTAAAGTTATATGTGATCAGAGGTAAAAAGTGTGGGATAAAAATTATTCCTTGTAATCTTTAGGGTTCTCCCCTACACAATCTATATGTTGATGAGCCCACCAAGTTACCTGTCCAGGTTCAAATGCTCTTCCTCACCAAAGTTTATAAATAACAAATTTGTGTCTTCCTTACTTCAGGAGTGAAATGACCTGGTTTTCTACCCCCTCCACATATTAATGGCTGTGCGTGGGGATTTTTTCAACTTCATTGTCTATAATCTGAACTTGTTAAAATTGTACACTTTTTTTTTTTCCTATTTAGCCAACTAGTTGGTGTATTTCTCAAGAACAGAGATTATGTTCATTTCTTACCAATGCCCTAGCACTGCTTAACAGGAGACCCACTGACTGACAATAAACTAATGATATATGCTGAGGGTCAGCTCTACTACTTACAACCCTGTCCAAAAAGAACCAAAGGTTCATATTAGATCTTAAAACATATAGATCCTTATGTGCATAGCATATAATACAGTACAATTTTCCCCTTTAACAGGATTGTTCCATCTATAAATACATGCTTTTATTTAAAACAAAACAAAAACCTTTTATTTCAGCTACCAACCCATTTCCTTTTTCCAAATAAAAACACAGACTTCTCTATACCTATCTCCCCTTTGTCTTCTAATTCTGGTTTTATCTCACTTGGGGCAGATTTTTACTGCTTGTTAAGATTACCAGTAGCTTCCACATTACTATATAAACTCAGTCTCAATTTTCATCTTCTCTATCAGCAACATTAACATAATGTTCACTTCCTCACAATATACTTGTAACTTTTAATATGGAAATAAACCACAAATGCAATTCGGTAGTGTGGACAGTTTGAAACTGTCTTAAGTGGCTTCCATATTTTATTCTTTCCCTAGTTCTGTTTCATCAATTGTTCCTTTTTAGTTTCATTTCCTGGATCATCCTCTTGACCAGTAAATTTTAGAATTCCTCACTTGTTTTTAACATTCATCCTTTTTATGATCGCATCCAACACCATAAATTGAAGTACCATTCATGTGCTGACAAATCTGATGTATTCCCACCCTGACCTGTCCCTTTAACTTGATACAGCTCTAGATATCTAAAGAGCGTCTCAAACCTATGATCAGAATTGAATTCTGCTTCCTATTCCTCAGACCCAAACCTTCTTTCTCCAATTTTCATTTCAAATCCCAAACTTTTGTATTCTATCATACCTATAGCTAATTCATTATAAAGGTCTATAGGCTGCACCTTCAAAATATAATCTGATCTGACAAGTCAGTCTCTCCAATATTGCCAACACTCAGTCCTATTCATAATTTCTTACTCAAATTACTTCAAAAGCGTTAACTGCATTCCCCATTTCCACTCCTCCTCTGTCTTCCCACACAGCAACAATCTTTTTAAGAAATTAGGTGGGGACCACAGATAGCATAATGGCTATGTCACTGGACTCCCATGTAGTCGACCGAGGTTCAAGTCCTGGACCTGGTGGCTTAAACTCACGCCGGGCGCGTATGCGTGCATGCCCAAAACCGAGAGGAAAATGGAGAAGCAATTACAGCGTGGCCATTCCCCCTGGGCGGTGATTTCTCACTTTCTGTCTCTGTCTTTCTGGTGAGTGCACGCACCCTATAGCAAAAACCTCCCCAAAAATAAATGAGGTAATGTGACTGCTCCAAACAGTTTTGTTGACTGGTATAACCCCAGCATCTAGACTAGCAAAATGCTCAGCATTTAAAATACTCAACAAGTATTGAAATGAATAGAATTTTGCTCAAAAGAATGAACTTATTTCCAGTCTAAAATTTCTAAAAATTTCTCAATACTTGTACTCTTTCTAAAAATTTTTCAGTGGCAGGGTTCCTCACTCATTCTCTTTGCTCTGTGATTATCCTAGCAGAAAAATAAGGCTGAAATTTGCCTGGGTTCTTATTAAATTTTACTGGGTTTTTCAGGCACACTTGGAATTTGTTACCGGATATCTAAATTCATCCTCTGAACTTGAACAGTTACTTTCTACGTTCCTTTCGGCTTTTGTCCTTGTTCTTTCTTACCAGAAAATTAGAAAATGGTTCTTCCGAAAAATTCTTCTAGAGGGTTCTTGGACAGTGTAACAAAATTGGCAGAATGCTGTATAGATTTGTGAGAAATATAGGGTAGGAAATGGTTCATTTAAATCTTGCCAGTACAACGGACATCACATATGAAAGCACTAAGTCAAAATATTAACAATTAAAAAAGCTCAACATTTTTTTCTTTATGAACAAGATGACAACCCTGACTTTGATCCTGCCAATAGCATCTATAAATCACAAAAACAGAAGGAAACTAGAAGTTTTGTGATTTGAATGTGTATGTATGCATTATTATGAAACCATGTTTCATTCATTTTCAATTTATAAAAATAACATACAGCAGATCCATGTACAGTTTAACATATAAAAACTACTAGTTGGAAAAAAGATTGCATTTCCATATCATTTGATATTTTATCACATAATTCCATAAGAGATAAACTCTCTTAGTTCGTGTATCAATTTGATTATATAATTTACCCAGCTGCATATCTCAGTCTTTGCACTGTTAGTTAAGGGGTTGGGCTAATGATCTTTATCACTGGTTCTGAAGTCCTCATGTATGACAAATAATTTCATAAAGCATATGAACATGACTGACTTCTTGGGGAATTTTAAGTCTCCAATCTTCTAGAGCATATAATCTATTGTAATTAGGAATATAATGCATGCAAAAATTTGACGCAAGCATAATTGACTCTGGTACAACAAGAGTTGCTATGGGAAATTCAATAGGATGGTTTTGAAAAGAGAATTTTAGCAGGGTCAAATAAAATCAGAAAAAATGGAGCAGAGAGTAAAAAGCACTCCAGATTTAGGGTAAGAATATAGTTAATAGCCAGCACTTGAAATCAAGCACAATATACTGCAGGAAATGAAAAAAACAAAAACAAAGGCTTAGAAGGAATGAAAAGAGAAAAAATATTGTTATAGTTATAACTTGTAAATCAGATCCCAACCTGTCACTTATTAGAGACATGACTAAAGAAACATTATAAAAATCTATTACACCTCAATTTATCTTTTTTAAAGAATTTTATTCAAATTTACTTACTTACTTATTTATTTATTTATTTTAATTTGACCATAGAGGTGTGTGGGGGGGGAGAAGAGTGAGAAAGCAAGCCTCCAGGTCCCGGACTGGAATCATGATTGGCCATAGGGGAGTCCAGCGTCCTTAACCACTCCCAGTTTCTTTAAAACAAATATATTATCTACCACTATTGAGGGGGGGCTGTGAAAATTAAATGGACAACTCAATAAATATTAGCTATTACTATGGGAGAGAAGGTCAGGTAAAAAGAAATGAACAGAAGAAAAATCTAGGCAGAAGGTATAATGTATGCAAAGGCAAAGAAGGGAGGATAAACAAATCTCTTGGAGAACTGCAAGTAGTTTGGTTTGTCAAAAGGAAAAAAGAAGACTGAGATAATAGTTTAAGGCCAATTCCAAAGATAGATTTCAGTATTATTTTAAAGGTGCACGAGGGCTACTTAAAGGTTTAAGCAAACTGTTAAAATCGGAACTCTCACAATGGTGGCAAAAGGCTGGAATGGACATGGGTTACTAGGGCCAGGGAGCCATTTAGAAGATTCTTATAGTAATCCCAGAATACCTGAAATACATCAGCAACAAAAGAGATGTAGATAAAGGAATGGATCAGAAGCCAACTAAAAGGAAGTACCTTCAAAAATCAACAGAACGTAGTGATTTATTGGATTAGACAGATGGGGAGGAAATCTATAGTTTTTAGCAACTCAAAATGGTTGGTCATACCATTCACTGTATTGAAGGGTATAAGAGAAACCCATACGCCTTCCTAATTTTAGGTTAATCCGATTATTAACCTAATCAGTTAGCTTTCATTTCTCAACATATTAAAAGTGAGAAATCTATGATCTCAAAGAGAATTCAAGATACAAGAAAATATACAGAAGTCAACGTAAAGATAGCAGTAGAAATGATAAGGAATTTAAAATTGTTCAAAGACTATGGGGAGAAACAGGTAAAGGGAATTAAGTACGAAGT